CTTTAAGACTTTTACTCAAGTAATATTCCTAAAGGAGACTTTAACTTTTACCAAAGTAATTTTTTGATAAAATACTTGTACTTTTTACACAAGTATCACTTTGTGGGACTTCATACAACACATACTAAATCACAAAATACTCGATCGGCCGCTCTCAGCTGCGCAGGTGAAGAGACGCGTGTGCTCCCCGTGCCCACTGCGCATGCGCTTCGCTGTGTTTATATTCTTTTTCATGCCCACCACTGCAAATGTGGCACCACTTAAAGAAGAAATAAGTAGGTTTTCTAACCGCACACSAATGTTAACCAAGAAACAGTGAAGCAAACACAAATCTCCTGACTTTCCTGTGTGGAGTTATGAGCTGATTGTTTGTGTGCGCCTGTTCCTTTAAGAAAACCAGCCTACCTGTAGGAGCAACGCTCTACAGGCAACTTCCCACTGAATTTCTAGCTCTTGTTAAAACAGTAGTTGACGCTCCTTCGGGTCCACCCTGAAGCCACGGTCGTTCAGTGTACCGGGGGAGGGGAGGTGGATGCGGTGCGTCAAGCCGCAGCTCGCGCTCTGAACGCGGACAGAACACGGGTGTTTCTCCGGGCACCACCAGGATGCATTTCCACGCATTTTTCTCCCCGCTTTATCAGTGATCACCTCCTTCCTCCTCCTCCTCCCTTCTCTCTCGCGTTCCTGTCACTCTGATAAACTTGTGCACACTCTCCGGTTTGGATCTGAGAGGTGTTTATTTCTTGCAGGAATGGTTCACAGGAGGAGCGGGTCGCCTCCTCCTCCTCCTCCTCCTCCTGCCGCCTCCTCCTCCCTCAGCGACGGGCAACTTTAGGAAGAAGCGGCTTTTTGATGTTTTTTTACGGGATAAACGGAAAAAACGGGAGGACATGAGCAGCCACAGAGGAGCTGGAGGGATGGCATCGAAGGAACGGCTGTACGAGCTGTGGATGTTGTATTACACAAAGGTGAGCGGCGCGAGCAGTGCGGAAGAGGGTGACACCTGTTGTTGTTGTTGTTGTTTTTCCAGAAGCCTCTGAACTTTAGTTAGATAAATAATAACAAACTGTGTTTCTTAAGAGTGCTTTAATCAGGAAGTCACATAGTTTTGAATTCCTTTTATCAAATAGTTGAAGCTGTTTCAACCAGATGACGTCGTGTTAAAATTTCTGACCTTTTTTTTTCACTTTCTGTATCTAAATTCAGACACTTGTTTAAAGTGATAATGTTTCATACTGTGTACATGAGGTGCAGGTGTTTCTCGAGCTACTTCCTGTTCCTGTTCTACCTGCCTGACTGTCTTCCTCATAAAAAAAAGCGTGTGCTTTATTTCAAACATGAGGTGGATTTCTTAAAAAAAAAAAGTATTTATTTATTACTATAGAGCCTGTTTAATTCCACTGTGAAACCCTGTTTATGTTTCTGACTCACGTTTTGAATGGGAAGCATTTATCATGGCAGTCTGGTCTCAAATGTTGCCCCCTGTGGGTGTGATTGCACATAGGTCTGCCCTTATACAGTATGTTTACTGTCTCAATCCGATATTATATTGGTTTGTTTGGATGATGATACATTTCTCAAAATCACAGTTTGTCATGATGTAATTTTGATTCAGTTCACAAGTCTGATCAATATGTTACGATTTCATAYAACATTGATCCACATCTGGCATGCGATGATGATATAGATCAATGTTTTCATTGTGCCTGATGTAAACGAATCATTAATCATTAAATCAATATATCAGCGTGGCTCAGTACACCCCTTATGTTTACATGCACTTACCGTGGACATGAACRTTACCATTTTGAGCTTTCTGTATCTAAATTTTAACTATTTAGCTGTTAATTTGTGGTAAAGTTGAATAGTTGGAAGATAGTTCCGTATCATGATGCTGTCACCACCGTGCTTGGCAGTTAGTAGATCTGAATCTTTGTCTTGTCTCACCGTAAAACGTTTCTCCAGAAGACATTTGGTTCRTTTACATCAGCTGCCGCATGTTTGAGTTGAGCTTAAAGGCGTCGCTTTTGCAGCAGGAACTTTTCTCTTTAGTTGGAGACGCAGCTGCAGTCAATCTTGATCTCTAAACAGAAGTGTAGACGTTGGTTTTGTCAAGTTAAAATATATTCTATTAAAAAGTTTAGGTGAGCGTATGTAGAATTTTGTTTAGAGAGCATCTATGATTAATTGTTTAGCTTTAAAGGAKCGGGGAGGGCAGTTAGTTCAAATACACAACGTAACGTTCATGTTTAATTATATTCATGCACATGAGTAAACTTTTGACTAACGTGTTGTGGGTTACAGGACACACACACAAAAGCAGCAAGTGCTTATATCACCCGTGCTCTCATGTTATAACTTGTCTTTCGGATGAGAGGAAAGGAAAAATTTGGCCGAGGCTAAATAATAATTTATTTAATGTTTGAAATCTGTTTCCATGCCTCGGGACAGACCAGCTCCATGCCTAAAACTCGCTCTTAACATCTCAGACAAAATAAAGAACCACGCTSTTCAGAATTACAACCCAAATCCAAAAGAGTTGGGACATTGGATAAAAAATAAATAAAAACACAACGCAATGATTTACAAATCTTATTAACTCGTATTTTATTCATGGTGGATTCTGGATGTTCAACAGTCCTGCTGAGAGGCGGGTCAGTTCAGCACCTGGACTCTTCTACTATGAAGCCATGCTGTCGTAATGGATGCAGTCTGTTTTTCTGTGTGATCTTGCTGAAATATGCAAGGCCGTCTCTGAAAAAGATGTGGATCTGGATGGGAGCATATGTTGTTCTAAAACAGAGGAGCCCAAANGGCCCACGGACCACTAGTTGATAATCACAGTTGTAGCTTGTTTTGCAGCTCGGGACACATTTTATTAGTGCGTCAAGTAGCAGAAATGGCTCTTTTAATCGTAAAATTTGCAGACCCCTGGTTTAGGAAAAGTGGTCAGGGCCAGGCTGTAGAAACAACTAGAACTAAAAAGAAGTCAATGGACGGTCTTGATAATAATAGAAATACAAACGTGTGTGTGTGGATGAGGAATCTTCAGCTGCCTAGCATCTCCACGTGTGACACCACTTCCTTAATAAGCTGCCTCTTGGCTCGTTGTCATTATTTCCAGTTGCCCTTACAGTAAAGAGAACTAATAACCTTTTATTTGTGTAAAAATGGATGTACAGTATTTCTGATCACAGAAACAGAAGAGAGGGATTTACCTGAGCTCTGATGTGACTTAAAGTAACACAAAAAGGCTGCAGAAAGGAACCGATCCCCTGCTTCTCCTTTAAACACCACTGTGCCATTGTTTTTTATCACTTTTGTTATTTGCCTGTTTGTTTGCTTTTGTTATTTGCCTGTTAGTTTGCTTTTGTTATTTGCCTGTTAGTTTGGTTGGCCCAGACAGTCAGTCACTTTTCATCTGGACCCAACCCACTTCTGACTCACTGGTCCCGTTCCTCGGTTGGCCAGACGAGAAAAGGAAAGTATTGACTCTTGTAAATAAGTCGAAGCAAACCTGAGCTTTATTTAGCCTTTCTGTTGTGAACAAGCACTCAGCTGCTGAGGGAGGCCCAGTTAAGTGACTTGTTCCAGACTTTTTATTTATTTTCTATTAGACTTTCTGTACATTAACACATAATGAGCCCTTGCTGAGCTGCTCAATCATTTCTAATASCACATCAACATTGCAGGCATTCATTGATGAAGGAGCTCCTCTTCCTTCAATTGTGAAAACACACACACCCTCTTTTACAAAGACATTTATAAATACTTTGAAAGACATGGGGATGGTGCATAATTATGCATTTCTGTGAAATTGGCTTGACAAACAGGCAACAAATGGTTATTAAAACTAGTACCTGCTGCCTTTTACATGAAGAAAACAGAGCTGTTTCTTGAAAATAACGTTCTGCAGAATCTGATGAAATAAACTGAGAGTAAACAATTATGTGTTGTGAATAACTCCTTTACGACCACATCCAAATTTAGCTCTGTATCTGAGTTTTAACCATTTTTATGTTGGCTAATGCTAACTGTGGGAGTCATCCTAAGTTAGATTGACTCCAAAGGTTAATCAGTTATAGATGCACAGATTATAGCATTTTGAATGTTTTTTTAAATCCAGTCATTCATTAGATATTTTGGGTACCGACCACACACACACATGATTTTACAGACTTCTATTAATTTCTATAGCTTAACCCAGACCCCTAGCCTGGTAAAAAAAAACAGACCCTTGTCCTTCACTTTGCTTCATACGAGGGTCTGGATTCGCAGCTATAGAGAAGTGATTCTTGCTGGAGGCGTGGCCTCTGTTGAAGTTTAAAATGATTGGATCGGTTGGCCATGACGTATGTCGCTGTGAAGGAGGCTAAGCGGAAATTGCGTGCTCTGTAAACAACCCTACTGAGAGGAGAGAAGTACCGAGCCGAACGTGACGACTGTAAATGAGAGCTGCTGCTTTGTCAGACAAATTTAATTTAATTTTGGACGAAAATAAGCTAAATAAATAAATAAATAAATAAATAAATAAATAAAT